AAAATCTAAATGAACTTTAAATACGCAAACTGAATTGAAACAGAGCCTTAAAAGGAAATTTAATTGCAGCAAAAGTAAATAAAGTTAAAGTAAATAAAGCCTGAAGCATGAAAAATCTACTGGCAGCATGAAATGTAAATTAATGGAAATGGAATTGAAACATGAAATTAAATGTCGACATCATTTGATTAAATTAAAGGAAATCTGGAAAACAAATATAAAGGAAAGGAAGCAATCCGATTACAAAGAAATATTACTGAAGGCAGCGAAACTCACCATTATAAATTCGACAAAAGAAGAACCGAATTGGTAAACTAATCTATGTTGAAGCGTAGAGCTGAAATTAAATTAAAAGGCTTGAAACTAAGACGAGTCTGAGTATAAAGAGAAGTTGTGCTGAGTTTGTTGTGTGAGATGTCGATCCTTTGCTTGATCTTACAATTAGGTATTTATAGCACCTTGGCAGCATGGTGGAGATCTGCGGCGGCATCTTGAAAGACCAACGGCAGCATAATATCTGCAACAAATTGATTAATTTGTTGGTGCTGCAATTATCCTCCGGGAAGCTCGCAACAAAAGAACGGTTTTGCTACCGTTGTGGAAATAACCACTCAATCTCATCTGAAGAAATTCACACCAACTAATAAAATATCTGCCATCATGGGTGACACGTGGCAGCACTTCATTTGTTGTAAAATTAGGTGTAAACATTGCCCCCCAATTTTTGGCCTTACGGGAGTAAGTGTCAAAAATTTAAGACCTTAGTGACAGTATTCAACTTATTTGTACCCTTGTCTCCTTTTGTTGTTTACATTTCTTCTCCATTTTGGAATCAGAAGCGTGGCCAACTGCAACTTCTGTGACGCAATTGCAATTCTTCACCACTTACGACTTGGAAACATGATCGACTGCAATTCATTATAAAACACAGCCACTCCTCCGATAACCATCATCACAGATTTGCAGCCATTTCTCTCTTTCTGTTTTTCTAGTTTTTGCATTGTCTTTGTCAAGCCATTGCAGCCATGGCCAGCCAATTTCCTGCTCGAGGATTACAACAAGGAAGAAGCCTCAAATCCCTTAAAGCCGAAAGAAGCAAATTACTAGTTGAGCTCAAAGAAGAAGGACGTGAAGCTTTGGCTGCAAAGAGTGAGGCTGCACAACAGGAGGAGAAAGCAAAGGAAGCCAACAACACACTGTAGCAAATGAAAGATGAGTGGGCCACTTGGACGCAGAACCTTTGCTAGGTTTTTTTTTTAGCATCATTCATCCTTGTCACGGCCATTAAGCCGCTTGAACATTTGTTTCCAGACTTCTTTTTATTTTTCTTCTTCCAATGATGAACATGAATTTATTCGCTTGCTTTATTCATGCTGCCCACGGCTTTGCAAACAAAGCCGCTCTAAAACACAAATGTAAGAACATGCCATGCCTCCTTGGCAGCACCAAGTCTTATGCATGCTTCCATGGTTCAAGCCAAAAATCTACGTGTCCTTATTGAAAGAAAAACATCTTGAATCAAATAATATACAAATGTCTGCAAACCTGGATCATGCAGACGTGGAGGCAGAACTATCCTTTGCCTCCCACACAGTCGGATAATATGGTTTCAAGTAGATGCCATTGATCTTGCACGGATGCAACTCCCCATTCAAAGACTTTAACCAATAAGCACCCCCTTTAAGAACTTTATGAATTTGGAATGGTCCTTCCCAATTAGGAGACCATTTACCATATCTAGGATCCTTCTTGCCAAGTGGCAGCATAGCCTTCCAAACCAAGGTTCCTTCAGCTAGATTCTTTTGCTTAACCCTTTTGTTGTAAGCTCGTGCCACTTTAAGCTTCTGGGCCTTCATCACATCCAATGCTGTCAGCCTTGCTTCCTCAAGGTCTTCCAACTCCATGATCATGGCCTCATTGTATTCCCCAGAATTCAAGCCATTTTGAATTGCAATCCGCAGAGACCTTGCTGTTAATTCCATAGGCAAGACAGCATCATGACCATAAGTAAGTGAGAATGGAGTCACCTTAGTTGAACTCCGTTGTGAAGTTCTGTATGCCCAGAGAGTATCTGAAAGAAGCTCATGCCATCTCCTGGGATTATCATCAACCATTTTCTCTAGGATGTTGATGATAATCTTATTAGATGCCTCTGCTTGACCATTTGCTTGTGCATAATGCGGAGTTGAATTAAGCAAATGAAATCCCATGTCTTTTGCAAAGGCCTTTACTTGAGATCCAACAAAAGCAGTACCTTGATCAGAAGTGATAGTCTCTGGAAGACCAAACCTTTGGATCAGATCCTCTTTTATGAACTTGATGACATCTCCTTGCTCAACCTTCTTCATAGGCCTTGCCTCCACCCACTTAGTAAAGTAGTCTGTAGCAACTATTATGAAAGAATGACCTTTAGAAGAAGGTGGAT